CGGCCTAAGATCTGGACCTCGTCAGTGGAGAGCTAGAAAAGTTCTATGACGTTTGAAGAATATCACGCAATAGTAAACTGGAATATTGTAATAATACAAGTTAATATTCAATACATTGATAGGATCGGTTACCTTCTCATGTTTTGGCTCTCCAATATGCGAGCAATGTCCTCCTATCCTGTCTTCACCGAAGATCTTCGACTACCTGGACTCTTCTTACGACCCATCATCCATTACAGAACGAAGTCGTCATCGCTTAGTACTTTATTCAGTATACGCCAGACAACTCCTGAGCATAAAGTATGTTCTCACATTTCTTCGCAACAACAAAGGTTGCTAGGCGTTTGTCTCCACTCATCGCAGCGGGAGCCTTGACCGTTTCCAGCTCCAATAATTCGAAAGCAACAATGACCAAGCTAGACTACTACGAGCACGACGCAAGCGAGTTTGATTACTATGTCAAGAATCCAACAGTCGAGGACTTGCCTATACTGCTAAAGAAATTTGATGACGAAAATCTAGATGTGTGGCCTTGGATATGGACTCATCCCAACAGTGACAATGGGCCGCACTATGTCTTTCTTGGAATGGATGCCAAGACGATAGGGCGAATCCAAGAAATTCGAAGTCAATCTCCCAATCACAACCTACTAGTCATTGCGTCCCGGGAGGTACTCGAGCAAGCTGCAAAAGAGGCAGGTGTGCCTTTTGGTGTCTATCATGACTGCCATTGCGGTATGGTAACGGATGCTGAACTGCAGCTTCTTCATGTGAAGAGCAAAATACTGATGTTGGACGATGAAAGAGTTATTGCCTTTGACTATCTGATAATAAGCTAGGACCAAAGATTCCACAAAAGCATGCTGGAAGCAGCGTTGTAAGCGCTCATGTTAGAATAAAATATACAATACCTACAGTAGTAGTTCCAGGGTGCCACCCAACCACCAGACTCGCCATTGCGTCTCTTGTACTGAGAATGGGATTACTTAGGCCCTTCGCTTCTTGTATATAGACTGACTGACTCAGTAGACTCCAAACCAATAATGTTATTGTTCTGGTTCTGTCCCGCTTTTGCACAAGCAACTTATTTCGACCCATAACTTCCGGTAGCAATGCTCTCTGGTCTTTTCGGTCAACTTGA